CTCCCTGTCCCTACTTTTTTGAAACATGCTGGCTTCGAAATCATAATCATTTTAAAAAGAGCCTCATTGTTTCTGTTTCAGTTTTTAGCGTTTTGTACAAAGTGTTTCTAAATCAATGATTTGTCTTGAAACTTCATAGCAAACATTAGTAGATGGAGATGGGCATTTTGCAGTGTCCCATTGCAATTGCATATCAAGACACACACAAGCAGTTTCAGTTCTTCATCCTGCTGAAAAGGCTGACAGAGGGTAATAAAGCAGCTACTGGTAACTGCTCATTGTCATGTTTCATTTACTTCCACCTCCCCCTGTCTGCTTTCTTCATTTCCATGCTTTCTTCTTGTTCTCTATGTAACACTGATGTATATCTTTTTGTTAGCACCGTGGCTACCTCCAGGCACAGTGGGCGAGCAGTTTAGCATGCTGTTGTCATAATTTAACAGCAGCGTTGGCTGTGCCAGCAGAAAAGAATTGGTTTTTTTATACTTAAAATTACACGCAGTTTGTACTTTCACCCTGTGCAACCATTTCTCTCTGTCGGTATTATGGCATATCATATTGTTTGCGGATCTCTCAGTGGGAGCGGCTGCAAGTGGTTTACAAGAACTGAAGTCTTAATTTCAGTTTTTTTCCACACTTACTCAATTTGGTTTTAAGGGAAATGTGTGGTAGAAATTTTTTCTACACCTTATCTGTAATATATAGTATTTCCATGTGATTATTTAAAAGAAATTAAAAAAGAGCAATCCATACCATTTCTAACATACGTTTTACTGCCTAAAGTGTCTTTTGCTGCCTCTTCTTTATTGCTAAACAACTAGCGCTGCTGGTTAAAGCTGCTGTTTTCGGTTGATTTGTTTTATTTTCACACAATAGAGAAATATTGCACAGTGGATATGGTATGGTATTTTTTCCTGATAACCTATAGCACTTTATGTTTTCCTTGGCTTTAAAAATAAACCATTGTTTCTGCAGCACTGAGGTAGTTCTATGAACATAGTAATGATTCCCACTTATGTGACACCTGATAAACACAACATTAAGGCCATTCCCCGTGCTTTTCTTTTATCACGCTTACTAAAGCCACATACACAGTACTTAGGATGGAAAAATCAATGCCTGACCTGCTGTTGCTGTGCTATGATTGGTTCTGTCTTGAGGGGGAAAAAATAAAAAAAATAGTTACTTTACAGATGTTGTTATCCATACAGGAGATCAGTGCTTGATTAAAAAAAAAATTAACATAAAAAAAAGACTTTTTAGATAGTAGGAATGTGGTGTGTGGGTATTTGCAGCCTTTGTATGCACACAGGAGATTTACAACTCCACCACTGGGAATGACACAGATCCACACACCTGCAAAAACACAATATGTTTATTAGTTTCACATGGCAACTAATTTGGTCAAAATCTTTGATGAAATAAAACAAAAGAATCTCAGCATTGATTTGTAATTGCGGTTTGAGTTTGGCTGTGGGCTGTGATTTGATATGTGACTTATAAATATGAAAACGTCCAACATATTCTCTGAACAACTTAAGATGAGAGGAGTGCACAACAACGCAAGATTATTGTATTAACAAGTATGTTGTGGGGGAGCCACGATTGCGGGGCGATCGTGGCTCAAGAGTTGGAAGTTCGCCTTGTAATCGGAAGGTTGCCGGTTCGAGCCCCGGCTTGGACAGTCTCGGTCGTTGTGTCCTTGGGCAAGACACTTCACCCGTTGCCTACTGGTGGTGGTCAGAGGGCCCGGTGGCGCCAGTGTCCGGCAGCCTCGCCTCTGTCAGTGCGCCCCAGGGTGGCTGTGGCTACAATGTAGCTTGCCATCACCAGTGTGTGAATGTGTGCGTGAATGGGTGGATGACTGGATATGTAAAGCGCTTTGGGGTCCTTAGGGACTAGTAAAGCGCTATATAAATACAGGCCATTTACCATTTACCATGTTGAGGTTAAAGACAGTATCACGAAGTTTACCCTTTTTAACTTATGACGAGTAAACCTAGTCTAAAGCAGGTTATGTTTAGAATTTCTGTTTAAAATCACATCTTTAAAAAAACACACATTTCAATGACTACTTTGATTTTTCATTCTCTACTGAGAGAATAGGTTTTATTCTTGCAACATAGTGAGCCGCAGCTTAAAGAGGCATACTGTAAAGTTGGTCCACAGCAGAATTCAAGTTTATTTGATCCAGAAATTATATTTTCATATTCATCCTATATATCAGATCTATTTTATACAGATGAAATTAAACCTAATAGACCAGAGATTACAAAACTTTACAATGTCTTCACCTTTTAAATTTTTTTTATGACAGTGACTAAAGTAGGTTGCAGTTGATTGGTCAGTTTTTTGCCAAAAAATCGAGCTGACAAGTCAAATGCCCCGTTTAACTGAAGCAGATAGCTTGGGTTGACAAAGACAGCTTGATAACCAGTGTCGTGATACGTTTTATCTCTGACTGAGATTTTAGGTTTTGCCAGGCCAGCTAACAAAAAGAAAGTCTGGCTATTTAAAACTTGCTTAGTAGTACACATCTCATAAAAGCCTGCAAATGAGTCAGAGTCAGATTTAGGGTGAGTAACGCGGGGGCTACAGAGATTTAGGAAACGAATTCTGAAGAAAATCTGGGAGGAATTAGCAAAATGTGCTATTTTGAAAGCAAAAGAAAAGAGTGACGAAAGAATTTTCACTGCAGGCAAGCTGGTTTTAAATAATTGTCAAAAAACATAAACTTGATTATTACAGAGCTACCTGCGGGTAATTAAAATGCTTTATTTTGAGCACAACTGATGAATTACTGTTTCCAGGCATTACAGTATTTTGGTGCAACACCTTTAGCAAAGAAGAATAAATATAATTTGGAACAAGGACAAGGATCCTCGAGGCTTCGCTGCATGGTAATAAGGGGAAGAATAATCAGAACAAACACAATAGGGCTCCGGCTGCTTTGCTCCATGTAGGGTCTTAATTATCACATGCTATGTTGCCTTGCTGTCTAAAAGCATCAATATTAGGATGGGCAAAGGGTGGGAAGACGTGGAACGCAGATTGAAAGTATCTGACAGTGCTAAACAGTTTTTAAATAGTAAAGAGATTTTGATGTACATCATATTTACATTGGTTTATTTCCCTCGCTAATATATTTCATGGCATCTGCTAACAGTTTCACTCCACCCTCCCTCTTCCGTTTGCCCTCCTGCACTCTGTTCATTGTACAACGCCACAGAGGAAATGTTGGTTTTAATCACTAGGCATAATTAATTGACATCCTTCCTTGTTAAGAAAATAAAAGCCTCAGAGCCACAAAGTAATTGACAGAGTTAATTTGGGGGACAACTGTAGGTGAGTTTTGACGTGTGTGTGAGTGGGCAAGTGAGACGATGCAATCTGATAGCCTTTTGTATGCGAAAGAGTTTCTATTTGGATGCATCTGGGTGCACTCGCCGTTTATCATTTTTCCATTCCAGGGGGAACATATAATCAGAATATTATCGGGGAATCCCAAGGTCTCACATACCCTTGAATTTTCATAGATAATGAATAAATGTGTCCATAAAACTTTAAAAAGGCATCAATAGTTAGAAAATGTTCAGTATTCATAATGCATTAAAGCAGTAATAATGATGAACACGCTCTGGGTTGCGGTTTACATTCAGGGATGGATTTGAAAGCTTTAGATTGCAGTGAGAGCTTTTTACAGGTAGTTAAGATTCCATTTCTGTTTCCCAAGTGACCTCCATTTCCAGAAGGTCCAGAGCTTAAGCTTTACTCATTTATTGCTCCATCCTCCATCACAAGGCAATTGACTACAACACTGGGCGTGTATCTGTTATGCTGCCAGTGGTTTAGTGCATGATTAGACATTTATAACATGTCTCAGAAGAACTTTAGTCGATTGCCACGACTTTTGCTGTTTATAACAGAATTGTGCAGTAAAAATATGTTTCTGTATATCTCTGAGGTTGATTTTTCCATTGAAGCATATTTTCGAATGATTCGGGGTTCATTTTGGCTGTATATGAGTGCTTTAGAGCTAGATGTCAGCCAATAAACGAGTGGGATCTGTGCCGTGTGCATGGATTTAAAACCATTATACAAGTAAAGTATCGCTAGGAATAGAATACAAATCCAGTCGTATAAATGTGAGCGCTCCACCAAGGCTGACACCGTTCCCCGAGTCTGGCTGCTAGTGATGCATGTGTGTGCGTACATGTGTTTGTGTGTGTGACACAGCCTGTCTTGCAGCAGCCTTGCTTTGGCAGGTCATAGTTTTCCCCTCAGAAATCAGCCGCTCTCTGAACTGTTAAATCACACTAGAAGCCAACCTTTGAGAAGAAAATTAATTACTTTCCCTCCTCTCCCCCTCCTCCTCCCTCTCCTCCTCCTCTCATTTCTTCCATATTATCCCTCCCTCATTCCTTTTCATTCTCTTTTCTCACATTCTTTCCCCTCAGTCGTTTTTTCTTTTTTCAAATAAAGTTGGCCACAGGTGCCTTTTTTTTTTTTTTTTTTTTTGGAAAATAACAATGAAATGTGCCATTACTCTTAAAAGCCTTATTCTTTCCGTTTGCTGGCTTTGTAGCTTTGATGGAGCTCTAGATTGACTGCGTGTGACTGTGCAGTTCATTCGCATCTTGCTTTGGCAGGAATATCGTGCCCGCAATCTTTAGTGAAATCATTATGTTGTCAAGTTTGTTGAGAGCTTTCTTAATTTGAAATCAATGAAATGGGCTCTATCCATTTTTGCGTATGGTGTGTAGTGGAAATAGCCCGCCCGATGACTAAGATGAGCGTCTCAGTGGATGATGCTGGCATTCGCTGTTATGTTTATCATCAACGATACACATAAGGCAGAATTTTAACAGAAACAGGCATGCTCGATGTTCAGTGTCCTAGGTAAAGCTCGCAGTCAATGTTCTCGTAGCTGCCATTTTGTTTTCATTCCAAATCGATTTGCCTTCCTCACAACCCGGTTTCTCTTTTTACCTTTTTCTCAGATCCAGATAGAGGATGTGGAGAATGAAGAAAAACGATACAGCCTTTTCCAGGAGCTGTTGGAAGCGGCGCAGAAGTGGGAAGACTTTCAGTTGCTCATTCTTCTCCTCCAAGCATGGCCACCTATGATGAAAGAGGAAGTGTAAGACAAACGTCCATCTTATTTCGTGTTAATGATTTAACAGTGATGATTTAACAGGACAGTGCTGTCATGGCTTCTATAAAGACTGATTATCAGTTTAAAAAAAAGTTAAGTATTGTAAGTGTTTAAAAACAGCTGTGGAGTAGTGAAGACTTAAATGCTGAACCTTATCTTTGACAGAGCCAGGCTAGCTGCGCATCCTTCCAGTAAACTATGTGAGCTCTGCTGTTGGCTCTTGTCTAAAGTTCAGTGGACTGAATATGAGACAGAGCAGAATTAACTGTCAGCAAGAAAAGAAAAAAGCCTCAAAGTATTTTTTTGAGCACATCTATTGTGGTTGTTACATACTTTTTAAATGATTTTTAAGCGTTTTTATAGTTTTTAAGGCTGTATTCGTGTTTTGCAAAAATCTTGTATCTAATTTCTTTATATTTTTCTTCCTAGTTGCCAGACTTTCTTATGATTTTAATGTGGTCCTGAGCAGTATTTCTCTAGGTTTTCTGAAGTTCTTCAGAAAGTTTGGAGCTTTTCTTTGGATGTTGGCTCTTTATCCACACATTCTCAGTCCAGTCCATGCACCTGACAATTTTATTTTATATATATATA